AGTGATTTAGAGGCTAGGAAGTCCAAGTCCAAGGCAGTTTGTGTCTTTTCAGGACCTACTTTAATGTTTATAGATGATGCCCTTGAGATGTGTGCTCATGTGCTAGAAGGTCCAAATGCGCCCCCACCCAGACCCTCTGATATAAGGGTCTTCTCAGTCTTGTGAACCAGTCCTCGAGACCTAACCACCTTCCAGAAGATACACACCCTCATAATATCAACTTGGGGTTTATTAATTTAGCATGCGGTTTTTAGAGACACAAGCTTGCAAGTATGGCACATTTCCTATGTAAACATCCCTTAAACTCATGGGAGATGTATAACCATTATCTGAAAACCACCCCAGGCAGGCCTTATGTCTGAACAAATTCTATAATCTATAACCCAGATAGGCATTGGGCCTTCAAATGAAAGAATGGGGAGGAGGGATTTCAGAAAGCAGCCTACACAATTTGAAGATACGTTCCCCAGATTCATGTGCTATTTTTTCAGTCTACTGATCTATCCATTTATTATTCAAGGGTTGTTACAATTCAGTGCAACCTCATTTACCTATTTTGGGGGATTTTTTTTCTTTAAACTTTCATGTGATATCTAAATTTCTTTCAAAATTAGGGAATCCTCCCCCCCATTTGTGTTCTGATTCCTAGTGTCAGGTTATATTTCTAAGTCTGTAATCTGTTTTTAGTTGCTTTTTTTTCATGATATCATCTTTATTGAATTAAGCAATTATAAAGTGCTAAAAAGGAGACATTTTCTGTACATATAAAACTATAATTGTGTACAATTTGACATGTCTATCAAAGGCCTCCAGTAAGATCTAGTTGGTTGAGTTGCTTTTTAAGATATTGGTAAGGCCACTTTTCACTCTTTTTGGAATGTATAGCCAAACTTTTATAGGACCATTTATTGATTAGAATGTTCTTCCCTCAAAGTCTGTGTTATCTTTTTCCCTTTGTTAAAATTTAAGTGACTATAGATAGGTTTTTCCCTAGTCTCTCCTATTATATTGGTTGATGACCCTTTGTGTGTGTGTGTGTGTGTGTGTGTGTGTGTGTGTGCGCGCGCGCGCGTGCAAGGGCCAGGATGTTTTGCTTATTTCAGCTTTGTAATATATTTTGAAGGCCCATATTGTTTTCCCTCCATATTTGTTCTTTTTTAGCAAAATTATTATGCTTATCTTTTCATTATCAAAAATACACAAAGTGCTCAAACTACTCAATGGCTTGAAAGTGAATATTCCCATTAAAGATGACAAAGGACCGGAATAGTAATTTCTTTAAAAAGGGGATACAAATTTAGCCAATGTAGGCAATAGGCACATATTAAAAGTGCCTTATATATAATAATCAGATAGATACAATTGAGGCCACTGAAATATTCCCCCATATTAGATGGATTGGCTATCAAAAGAGTGAAAGATAATGAATTTTGATGAGGACAAAAAGTACCCTGTTGATTTTATTACATAGTGGAGTTGATGTGGAAAGCAATATTTTGGTTCCTCAGGATAGGACCACAGTACAGTCCATCAAACTTATCACTGAGTACATATTGAAAGGAATTATAGTGGACATGCCAAAAGAAGGTTGATCTTTCTATGTATAAGGTAGCAGTACTCATAAATAACCTAAGTATATAAGAATGGGTGAATATATTTAAATGGTGGTATATGTAACCAGTGGTATATTATTGTAAAAAAAGGAAGACAAAGAAAAAATGGGAAATCCCACCATGTATGACAACCTGGGTAAACCAGTAGATATCACATTAAATAAAATGAGCCAGTTGCAAAGAAGTAGTACCAATTGGTTTTGCTTATATGTAGAATCTAAGGTAGATGGGCTCCTAGAAATACCAAGTAAAGTGGTAAAATTACTAGATTTGAGAGGGATGAATTGGTAGAAAGAGTATGTGGCTAATGGATGCAGAGCTGTAGTTGGATATTGAGAATCCATCCTGGTGTTTTATGGCAGTGAGTTAACAATAAGCCAGAGATTTCTCAACAGCAAGAAGAGTCTTTAAATGTTCTTACCACATGGAAATAATTATATCTGAGGTGACATAGATGTTATTCACTGTGTTTTGGTCAGGGATATGCATATGCTGAAATGTTGCTTTGTGCCTCATAAATATATTCCAGCATTATTTGCAAATTGCAAATAAAATGGAGCTAAATTTTCAGGAGAGGAATTAAATGCAGCAAAGAGTGTGGGGAATATCAGCTATTTTTTCCATCTAGCTATGGAAACATGAAATTTGCAGGTGCCTTAGGAGCCTGTGCATGGATTTTGTTTCATATCTGCTGAGCACCAAATCTTGTGGTACATGAGATAAAGACATGTAAAGACTCAGTCATGTCCTCAAGAAAAATCACTGTCTGGCAAAAACAAGGAAGCAACATGGAAAGAAATAAAAGCTTAGTTTACCTGTGACATATGTACAGGAAGACTATGGATGTATGGCCTTTGGTTAAAACCTTGCCAGGTGGAATAAGAATCAAAATTTTAGATACATTCACACAGCAGGAACAGAATGAGAAATCAGAGATGAAAACAAGTCAAGTGTTAAGAATAGTTATGACAAAAACATAAAAGAAGATAGAAAATGTCCCTGAATAGTTACCAGTAGCCTCACAATGTCAGTGAGTTTAAAGTTCTTTTATATGTGAGCAATTTCAAGTACAAGCATGGAGAATAATTTACACATGGGATGCTTCTGTGGGCAACATCTACTCTCAATGTTTCATGTGAATGGTCTTGTTCAATCTTTGGTACCATTGTATGTTAGATTCTTGACTTATTCCCAGAGAATATGTAAGCAAAGTCATGTAGTGTGTCCATGGTAGAGATGGCTTTCTCCCAAAGAAAATTCTCAACATACATGCCTTCTACATCTCAGATTTTATGGGATAATTTCTCTGGATCCTGGGATTGTCCTCTCTGTGCACAAGAAACTCATAAATATGGAGGGCAAATGGTAATCTTGGACACAGTATTTATTCTTAGACTGACAAGCATTTCAGTTCAAGCCAGCAATGCCAGAATGGCAAATACTATTTTACTGACCTGGAGGCCTCAACCCATGGGCAGGGTTATGCTCAAGTTTTGAGAAACATTGACTCTAGTGGAAAGAGAGACTGTATGGAAAATGACCTCACTGACTAGTGAAGGATTGAAGCTGCAATGCCTGGCTTAGATTTTGGCCTCACTCCACCCTTTCCTCCTCCCAGGCTGCTCCTGTGGCCATGTGGCTCAATCCCAAGGCTCATATACAAAGTGGCCTTCTGTGCACAGGGAGGTAGCTGCTGGCAGATGACTGTTGCATCCATTCTGCTCCAAGGAGGAGGAACTCACCAATTTCAGTAGCAATCTACAAGATCATCCAAAAAGTCTAAGGTATATTTATATTATGGCCTTATTTCCCCTGTCATGAACATCACTGAAAGAAAATGGTGACTCATTGAGAAATTTCACTGAAAGGAGCAAATAATCACAGGGCGTGACTTTCTCCATCAGCACAGTAATGTATTATTTTTTGTTCCAGAAAACTCAGACTTCTGTACCAGCTTTGAGAGGCTAGCAAGCATCATTTTATTTCTTGCACATGAGAAAACTGAAATCAGAAAGTTCATAGGAGAAAGAGCCAAGATTGTCAACTTGGTTCATTTGACTTTGGTTCTGTACTTTTCTTCTCTGTAATTTTACTTTCCTGGGTCTTCTGAATTCAAGTCCTTTGCTATGATTCTTGGCCTACCTTTTACTATTGAGCTTATTATAAGCCAGGATACCATTTAGCTTGTGTGGTCCAGTGTCGCATTTTGTTGTTAATGGGTGCTTCATGGTCAGTGGCCATGCCACAGTGGTTACAAAGTATTTTGGTTATTGTTTGTGTTCTCTTACAAAAGTTTTCTATTATTTTACTGCTCTAAACCAATCATGATGTGTCAACTTATAGGATCAAATAGCAAGATGATATCTATTAGAAAAAGCAATAAAACTAGAGATCAATTTGGGTAAGAAAAAATCCAACATAAAATGTATAAATCTTAAGTCTGAGACATTTCTAGAAAAGAATGAGTTATTAAGTTCCACACTTGCTAGGAGCCAATGAAGAAGAAAAACTGGCTGAGTATAGAATGCACTGTTTTCATGAGAGCCATAAACCAAAAGCATAGTAGATACAGAATTATCTTCCCAGGTACTTTAAAATAGAAACACTGTAATTCATCTGCCATGTCCTTTAATCTTTATGGAACAGATTAACAATGTGTTCAAAGGCTTGTTTTCAGAGGTTGCTTAAACTAAGGTACCTAGAATTCCAGACTTGCTTCTCCAGGGCATTTAGTATTTTGGTGACATTTTGATGTTATACATTTGCTCTCTATAGGTATAGAAATTTCTATCATATATGTTGCATTTCTTAATCGGTTCTTTTATTGTACCCTGAAACATGGAAAACCCAGTTTCCTTTATCTCATTTTAAAATATAATGCTTGTGAAGATAGATAGGTGATAAATAAATAGATGATAGATAGAAGATATATTGCTGATAGATAGATGACAGAGTGCTACCATGGAATGAATTATAGATCTAAACAGAAGGCTGAGATGCTCAGACATGATCCCAGAACAGCTTAGTGAGCATTGTGACATAGGCATTCCCAATGCGGTGCTAAGGGGTAGAAAAGAACCATCATTATTTTGGAGAAGGCTAAAAATGGATACTTACTGGAGTGATGATCAACTCCAGGCTTGACACAAATTATTCAAAGAAATTGAAATATAGAAAGAGATTGTTAATAGAAAACCATACTAATTACATAGCATAGGACAATAATGGATAATATGCTTTGGGCATGTTCTGAGGTTTTTAAAGATCTCACTCAGTAAGACTTTGCCAGTAACGCACAGCATTAAACTATATCATTCATGACACAATCAAGAATCCAGCCCAGGGATTATCTTTTAAAATTAAAATTTAATATTTGACTAAATATTTTTAAATATGAAATGCATCATAAATTTGTGTGTCATCTTTGCACAGGAGCTATGCTAATATTCGATGTGTTGTTGCAACACAGTTGTGCTGCCAAAGCTAGCACTGCTAATTTAAATTTGAAAAAAGTTTTTTTTTCTGATTTGTGTTCATTTTTCTCTGTTAATGTATTGATGGGAGAGAGAAGGTACAGAAATTCACTGTCATGTGCTGGGTACGTGCAGAACTATCTGCTATACTGTAGACCACTCCTCTTGGATATAGCATTTTTGTTTTTATTAAGATTAAAACACCAGCAGTTTATGTTACAGCTCCCATGATGTACTCCACAGAACAGGGTTAAGCCTTACATTCATGGTTTTGCATAGCTCCCCTCTATGGGATTTATGCCTAATTCACATGACCAAGATAGACTGCTTCTTTCAACCCAGTTGCATAGATGCTAAACCAAAGCATCAATTTGCAAAAGACATACTCTACTATGACATTTTTCTTTTTTTAATTTTGGGGAGTGGGAAGCTCACACTGTCATAGAAATGGAATGCCTTGGTTTTTATCAAGTTTAGGTTAAAGCTTTGTGTATGTGTGTGCGTGCATGCTTGCATGTGTGTTTGTGATGCTATGAGCTGTTTTTAAACTAGAGAGAAAAATGAAGTATTTACAAATATTGATTTAATTGAAATGTGTTCCTGGGGCTGAGCTTAAGGAGGCAAATCTTTGATGGAACTTAATAACTTCTAAAGATTTAGGTTCCATTATCTCACATTTTCAATTTCTACAAGAGCAGTGGAGATTAGTGTGATTGTAAGTAAACTTACAATGCAAATTTAATAGATTTGAGAATTTAGTCCAATAAGTGAATACATCATAAATTTGACACAGCAAAATAACACAAATAATTGTCTACATATACAAATTTGATTTTCCTTTTTTTTTTTTTTTTTTTTTTTTTTTTTTTTAGTATATTCTTTCTTTTTCCATAGAAAAGAACTTTTGACCTTATTTTTTTTTCCAGGAAGAAAAACAAAAACTAGAATCCTTATTTTGGAGTTTTTAATAAATTCCCCAGTCAGAGATTTACACTTACATCTCTTGTTTGTTAATATTGGGCCATCCCAGCCAATCAATAGACTTAGAATACTGAGTTTCCTTCAGCAGTCTAAGTTTACCAGATTCCTGCTCTGCTATGAGCTGAAGCTCATTAAGCACCTTCTTTGCTGCAATAGTCATTTTCTCTCATTCTAGTTAAAGGATCCTTCACTCATACCATGTTAAATGATTTTGCACTGCACAAGAAGTGCTGAAGCATTTTCGTTTTGGCTGATGGCAAACCACACAGGAATGGGGTTTTACTTTTAAAGAAGAGTTTGTGCCTGCCCTGGGTCTCTGTTGCTTCATTTCAGTATTCTTTGCCAACTCAACATTCTCCAAGAAAGTGTAAATCCTACCATAGCAAGCGAGGTGTTGAATATGTACCTTGGCTCATGACATCACCTTTGGGTTAGGACCTCAAACTGTGTGAGTTTAAGCATATAGATACTGGCTCCTAAGATGCCAGAGTTTATAGCTACATACTTTGAGCTTGAAATTCATATGAGGAATGGAGAATAACTAACCCTTCTGCCTCTCAGACAACTATTCTGTCACCCCAAGGGAGTGTGCTGTTCCAGAATTCCAATGAATAGGAGGTTTTACACCTGATACTGCTACTGATTTGAGCCAAGGACTTGGGACTTGGGGTTATGATAGGACTCTCTACATAAGTCTGATAAGTCAGTTGACTGCATTGCTTCTGAAGAAGGTGTACTTTTTGTTAAGTGGCTTCAGGCTCTCCAAGGTCATGAAGCAGATACACATCTGAAATTCTATTATTATAAGATAGGCTGAACAGGTTGTTAACAAGTTCCTGAGAACAGACTGTTAGTAAAATCGTTTTAGTTTGGTGGTTATTGAGATGGAGTGGTGGTGATTTCTAGTAGACAATCTAGCACAGTCTAGGAACATTTTCAGTTGTGACAGCTGTAGAAAGTGGGCAATAGTAAGTAGCTCAGAGTAGTAGAAATGAGATGCTGCCTGCATTACACATCCTATCTGGTTCATAATCATGATGTGGTCTTCAAGGAATTAAAAAAGCTTATTTGAGAAAATATAGGGAAGCATTATCAAGATTCCCATGCCTCTTATAGGACATCAAGCCAGCAACACAAGACAGAGTCACCCTTTCCAAATTTCATCAGGGTCTTCTGTTTGAAAAAAACATAGTTTCCAGGATTATTTTGTGTGTGTATATGCGTGTGTATGCGTGCATGCACGAGAGAGAGAGAGAGAGAGAGAGAGAGAGAGAGAGAGAGAGAGAGAAGCAACATGCTCCTGGGCTCTACTCAGTGGCAGTAGGGTCCAACATGAAATAGGTTTCACTCGACAGAATGCAGAACACAAGAGGCACGTGAACAGCCTGTAGTAACTGCTGTGGAGTTCTGAAAAATTCCATGGAGAAATCTGGACATAATAAACTGTTTCTCCGAAACTAGTTGGTTTTTTTTCTTTTAGAAAATACAAATTATCAGCATTATTCACTCAGTTGCATACAAAATTCCAAACTTGAAGAGAGTACTTGGCTTTCTTTTCTGGTTTGTAGACAGCAGGTGCAAAAGTCTCAGATACCCACAAGACTGTCTTAAGAGGAACAGTGTGTAAGACATGAAGAAGAACAGCTATTTGCCCCAAGCAAATTCTTCCAGAGTCATGCAAATCAGCTATTTTTTTGAAGCACATCTTGACATGGCTTTTGTTTGTTAGACTGTGAAAGATTTTAGAGAGAGCTGTGGAAAGTAAGACTGGGGGACAGTCAGGTAGAGGTGTTGAAAGGTGGTCCCATTATTTTGAAATCTTGCTTTCCTCATCCATCAACAACACATTCCCCCCTTCCACACTTATTCTGATATTTAAACTAGTCTATAGCTCCATTGTCCTTGCATATTCTACTGTGGAGGCATCCATAGCAACCCACTAATCTCTCCCTAAGCCACAGGAAGCCAGGCTCTTCTTGTATTTGCTTATAAAGAACTGCCCAGACCTTCTCTGGCACTTTTTTTGCTCAGATGTCAGCTGCATGAAGTCACATGGTAACCACAGAGAGACTTTATGCTGTGCACCACCGTTTAGTGTTAACAAAGCGCTAATGCTGCCTGGCGTGAATAAGGCTAGTTATTGTGGCCAAACTTTGGAGAGGTGCAAAGGGCCAAATGTCAGACTGCCAGTTAAGCAGCAAGGTGGAAAATTCTTGCCTTCCTTTTGGCTCAGATGAATTGGTTGGTTTAAAAGAAATTAAAATGAAACAGGCAACAAGAAAGATTTTATATTTTTAGTAAAGTTGCACTAACATTACCACCCACACCATTGATAGCCAAATATTGAATCTTCATGTACTCATATTCATAAAAGGATTTCATGGTGTCCATTCTTTTGCTGAGCAATGTTTAACCCAAGGTCAATGTTCAACCTCTGCCCCAAAGGTCATGTTGAACTAATTATCTTCAAGGATTTATAGTGAGTTATAGAATGTTAATGGTATAAGTATCAATCTTCTATTACACAGTAAAATCATCCATCATCTACTCACTAGAGCCTCAAATATCACAATATGGAATTTGGCCAGATAGAACATCTAGGATGTTGCAAACTGAACTGACACCCAGATCTTCTGACCTACAGTGGTAGACTTTGTATGAGCAGCATGCTGCTTCTTATTTGTTTCAGTGAAGGATTTTTACAGAGAAAGGTTGTATGCTGGATGAGTTGTCCCTTTAGTTTGATAATGGTGATATTCTAATTGGTCTCATTGAAGTATTTCTATACAGAGAGATTAACTCAGCTTAAACACAGGCCAGTCTATGTTATATCTATGGTTAGAAAAGACCTTATTTTGCAGCTTAGTGGCTGTCCTCAGATATTCCCAGTCAGTATTTTCCTCAGAGCTTTTGCCTGAGGTTCTTAACATTTCAAAGAGTTATGGAAAGAGCTGGAGTGGGCTATTTTATTGTATTTAATAGATGGTCAAATTGTGTCACAAGGATATAAAGGATATAACTCATCTAAAACCACATTCAACATTTTATGGCTCCCGAGGCAGATTTCTGGGCATTTTTGCATGTAAATTCTACAAGAGTCTCTCTCAATCTCTCTCCCACCTTTCCTCCCTGCCTTCCCATTTACCTCTCTTTCCCTTCTTCCTCTCTTCTCCCTCCCTCCCTCCTACCTCTGTCTTTTCCTTTTCCCCCTATTTGCTGAGATTTTGCATGAATTCTCTGTAAAAGAGAACTGCTGGAGTCTGAGGAGATGGTAAAGTGCTTGCTGTACAAACGTGAGGGCCCGCACTCAATCCCTAGAATTCACATTAAAAAAAAAAAATGAGGGAATGATGGTGAGTGAGTATAGCCCTAGTGACGAGGAATGAGAGCAAGCAGGAAGAGAGAGAGAGCATAAGTGGGCAGGGTCTATCTTTTAAAGGGGTCCTTTGTACCTGCATGCATGCTGTGCAACCATTGAACATTGGGCTGACCAGGGTACTACCTGAGTGCAATCTTCCAGGTGATAGGCAGGCCAGCATGATTCCTGTAACCTTATACTGCCTATTTGTTACCATGAAAGATCTTTCCATTTTCTGATAGCTTCTTCAATTTCTTTCCCGCTCTCTTTCCCACTGTTCTTCTGGGGCAGACAGGACTTTTCCTGTCTCCCTCTTTCTTCTCTTTTGTCCTCTTGCCTCCATAAGTGGCATCAAACACATGTATGCATAACTGCACACAGTAACACACACACCAAAGCAAAGTAAAACAATAGCAAATACAGAGCAAATGCAGAGATAACTATAATAAAGTTTAAAAAATAACCAGTATTGACTCCCCAGTACACCGCATGCAGGATTATGCTACGAGAGCTTGGTCCTCTCTGGATGTATTTATTAATCTTGGAGCCATGATGTTAGAAAGAGTGTCTTTTCACTTTAGAGCTCAATTTCTATACAATCTTCTCAAATTAAATGTAATCACACCCAAAAGGAAAATAAAATATAGAAGAGAATAATTCTCTTTGTTATAAAACATG